TCCGCTCTCCTCTCCCGCCTGGCAGCAATCGCGGCCCCCGACGCCACGGCTGCCTGCAGCTGCAGTCGCTGCCGGAGCGCCCGGCCAAGGGCACGTGGAGACGCAACTGCGGCAACGCCGAGCGAGCCGAGCGGAGGGGAAGGGAAGGGAGGGGGGGAAGAGGGAAGGGAAGGGAAGGGAGGAGGACCAACCTCGGCCTCCGCCTGCTTCTCTCCCGCCTGGCAGCAATCGCGGCCCCCGACGCCACGGCTGCCTGCAGCTGCAGTCGCTGCCGGAGCGCCCGGCCAAGGGCACGTGGAGACGCAACTGCGGCAACGCCGAGCGAGCCGAGCGGAGGGGAAGGGAAGGGAGGGGGGGAAGAGGGAAGGGAAGGGAAGGGAGGAGGACCAACCTCGGCCTCCGCCTGCTTGTGCCCTTGGCAGAGCCGCAACTTCAGTCCCTGGGGACGCCCTCCAGCTGCGGCTGCACGCCGGGCAGTCCCGGGACCTGCTGGCCACCCCCGGCGGCCAGACTCCGGCGGGGCCCAAGGGACGAGAAACAGAGCCCCTGAGCCGGTGCAGAGTGCATTCTCCTCGGTCCCGCCTGACCGCGGCTGAGCTTCTGGCATGAGGGGCTGCGGGCAGGCAGGGGTGCCAGGCCCGGGGGCCGGCCTTCCTTAGGCGGACTGAAGTCCCTCAACTTGTCTTTTCCAACTGAAGGTTCAGTTACTCTTCCGTTATAAGGGAACGACATGACTGGAAATAAAGCGGGCTCTCAGCGCCCAGGGGCGTCGGGAATTGCAGCCTCGGAGGTGTTGGAACTGAGGGGGCCAACTGGCCCCGTAGCCTTTGCGTTGGCCCCTCTCAGGGGGTGCTTAGCAGAAGGCATCTGCAACTAGCAGGAAGCCGGAGTGGAGCTGGGGGCTTTCGCTAAGAACCTTTCTAGCCGCCCCTCACTGAGGTAATATCAGCCGCAAGCAAGAGACTGCAGACCTTCCGCACTTGTAATGGTTGCCCAGGGACTTTTGGCACCTACCCTTGCCCAAATTTCTGCTTTTCACATGAAAAAGCAGAAGCATTTAGTCCCTCTTAATAATAAACATTCCCAGGGTCTAAGCTAAGTGCAAAAGAGGGGGGAAAGCATCTCTGTTTACACCTCACAAATCGCCACACACACAATGTGTGCGCACGCACAGTACCTTTATGAGCACAGCCACAACCTGCCCCACACTTTAGAGATCAGGATGCTGCCCGTAAGCCACAGATAAGGAATGCATGGCCTTTCCCTTCTGGAGAGGACTGTCACTCCCATCATCATTGACTATACTGGCAAGGCCTAACGGGAAATCCAGTCCTATTTGTCACTCCCATCATCATTGACTATACTGGACTAACAGGAAATCCAGTCCTATTACATGGTCTCCTCCATGCCTTAGTCTATGATTTTAAAAAATGCTTAAGTGGCATGGCTTTGATGGAAACCTACAAGCCCCAAATCAGATTTGTGCAGTATCCCATATTAATTAGTTCAGGAAAACGACGAGCCATTGGTTCCTTATTACAAGCTAAGCCAACACAAAAAGGGCCAAAGAATCTTGTTGGCTCAAGCTCTGTTAGGCTCTGTGTAGGCTGACTTTCTCCTTATTGTAGTAGCCAAGCAGATATGCACCCAGGGCTCCTAAAAGCACAGCATTCATGTGATCATCGTACTCTCTCATTTGTCTCCAACATCTGGCAGTCAGAGATCTAACGCCTCTGAATATGGCTGTTCTCTTCAGTTATAATATCTAATATCCAATGTTTTATTAATGTGGGTGAGGATCATATTAGTCGGGCTTGGATGCCTATACATAAATAATAATCAAGTGCCATCAAGTGACTTATGCTGGCCCTTTTCAGGAGTTTCCAGGTAGAGGATACTCAGAAGTGGGTTGCCATTCCCTTCTTCTGGGGTGCCCTGGGACTGTGCAGCTTGCCCAAGGCCACACGGGCTGGCTCTACTTGTAGGAGGCTCTGTAGGAAACTTCCAACCTCTGGCCCTGCAGCCAGACACCCCAACCACTGAGCTGTCCAGCCGGCTTGGCTGTGTAGAAGAGTTGCCTCAAAACCTCTACTGAAATTGTGTGAATTTGTATAGGGATTATTTTGTACACTTCCCATTAACTTTCCCCCCCCCCTTTTTTTTATTCTTTTACACCAGTTGGTTTGTGGGTAAAACATATCCTTTCCTTCCCAATGTGTAGCCACAACAAACCCCTCATATTTGGGGGCAATTAGATAAGAACGCATGAATATCTGCTTCAAGGGGGCTTTGTTTCCTAGTTTCTGGAAAAAACCAAGGCCACACACAAACACACGCATACAGACTGACTTTGTGAAAGCAGGGTCTCATGTGCCAAGCAGGGGGAGGAGTTATTTTCTTCAAGGTTTTCTTTCCAGTCTGTGTTTAGGTTCCAGGAAAAACTAAAAACCTTTTTTTTAAAAAAAATTTCCAAGGTTTTTGGTTCCAGTTGAGCTCAGCATTAAAGGATAGGGCGGGGATGGGGATTTTTTTATACCTCAGAAGTTGGCAATTAAGGGAAAAGTCAAATAATTCTGTTTGGATTCGCTTTCAGACCTGCAGTCCAACGAACAAATACAATTAATCAGCCTATTTTTTATTAAAAACATATAGCGAGGGAAGGCAGCTAATTAGTTTGGATCAGCTTTCCACCATCCTCGTCAGGACCCCAGTTTCCCTTTGCAGGTCCACTCATTTCCTGCCAGCGACAGGCCAGCCCCTCCTGTTCCGTGGTTTTTCCACAGCCTTTCTTTCTTATTCCAGCTTTTTTCGTTAAGTAAGTAGGGAAAAAAACTTTTCTGATCATTTCCTCAACTCCCAACCACGTTCATCCCTTCAGGGATCTACCGCATGCATTGGTACTCCCCTCAGTTTAGTTTAATGAGCGTCCAGGAGAATCCTTTTCCCACATGGGATACTAGAAAAGCTGCCAGTCGAGTCCCAAATACAATCATGGTTGTACGGCTGACTTAAACTATTCCAGTCTTCAGTGATATATATAGATTTTAAACCTCCGCTCCCCAGCTTTTTTCTCCTCTGAGGGTGGCACATTCTTGCTTTCATTTGCTGTTCGCTGTTTGCCTCACAATAACCTCTGTTGTTGTTTTTAAAGAAGCACATTGAGAAACTGTTCCCCACACCATGACCTGTGGTTTGCTTAACTGGAGGAATGTTACTGCAGCATTTGCCTCCACGCAACATGCCATGTGCTCTGCATTATAATGTGCCTTCACAATTGACTCCCAGGAACACGTGTGCCTCTGAGCATGTGCAAATTTCCTTCCTCGCTGTTGTAAGTGCCCAGAGCTGCAAGGCTTCAGAAGTTTCAGATTAGGGAAAGGGGCTTTTTTTGTCACAGTGTATAATTTCGTGGGGGGGGGGGGAAGAAGGGTTGAGTTCCAGCATCCTTGGGTTCAGAAATGAAGGCTTCTTGCTATGTTGCCTTCCAGCCCACCTGGTTGCCAAGGGAAGATTTCTTTCAAGTTCTGCATTTTTTCCTGGTAAGCTTTGTTAAAGCATTCTGATTGTGCCACAGTGAAATGAGTCTTCCAGTCTCCACACATGCCTGGAAAATGAAGAGCAAAAATCCAGCATACTTAAAGAAGAGAGGTCTCATTTGATGGCCATAGGCAGCCCTTGGTTTAAACGAAGAGCAGGATAACATTTTGGGGTCATGTCCCTCCCCCTGGCTTAGGCCATGAGTCATGGCCATTTGCAACATGTGGGGAGAAGAAGATTGACTTTTCCTTCTCCAGCTGCAATTCCACTTTAAAATCACCCCCTAAATTCTCACTAAGGGGGAGAGAGCTTTCCCCTGCTGCCAATGGGCAGTCAGAGTTCTAGGAGATGGATCTGGGCCCCTAAATAAAATAAATAAATAAATAAATAAAATAAAGAATGGATAGTAAACGTAGTGCCCCACAGGCCTCTAGGCATAGCAACACCCTTGGGTGCTAGATCACAAGATGCCTGTAGTTGATGCTTCAATAGTGATGCTTCTGTGAAAGGAAGCATCCAGTGAGTAGACCTATAAATGTCTGTCATACAGCCAGGGTCTCCAGATTCTGGCTTCCAGTTCTGCATTGGGCCCTGCCGGGCAAGATCTTCCGAAGTTGCCTTGTCTCACCTTTCCTCAGAAAAGTCCCCTTCTCTTGGTCCATTACTTCTTTTGGCAGCATGGTTGAGTTGCACATGTTGTTCTTCTGCATAGCTTCAAAGGAGGCATTTTGTACCACAGATGTGATGGCTGCCTCATCCAACTCCTTCCCTAGGAAACGGCAGAGATGCTCCACACTGCCACGCAGATCCTATGGAGAGGTGGGACACAGAGACCAGTGTCTAAAAAGCAGCAAACTTTGACAGGCTTGACTTACTGAATTACTTGATGTGGTGGTGTGGATAGCCTAATGAACGAAGACTCAGGAAATTTGAGTTTAAGTCTGCACTTGGCCCTGTAAACTCACTAGGTTGGGATGGAACTAGTAACACCACTCCTTAAATATCTCACTTGCCTTATTAGAGTGAATATAATAACTTGGTTCTAACTTGATAGCACATAACATGCATAACATCTTCAGTCATTGGAGTTAAATCGTTTACTGTAGTCTAACTTCAGCCCTGAGGGATAGAAACTTGACTTGTAGAAAGTCTAGAATTCTCACGGTATCTTTTATACTACCAAATTCTGCATAATGTGACACAGACTGCTTATTCCTAGAGTATGGATGTCTGGATTAACCCTAGCTGGAAAAGACTTGTTTGAAAGTTTAGAGGGTTACTCTTCCAGTTCTATAGAGGTAAGTCTAGCAGTGGAGGGCAGCTTCCACTGTTATCCCATGTTAAGTGCTTAGTGAATGTTTTGAAATTCTGATTTTCATTTTATAGAATATTTCTGGTTTGTAGAATTCTAGGTTTGCGTCATTTTTCCTACCACTAATAAGAAGGGTTATTTTACCCTATTTAGGGGAAAAAAAGAGAGATGTGATCTATCCTTCTGCGATTACCTGCTGCAGCTGTTCATAGGTGATGAAGAAGATGTTACTTTTGCCTTTCAGCTTCAGCCAGCCAGTGATGTGGTCAAACCAGGATCCAAAAAGTACTGCAGAATGGGGAGTGAACAAGCATGCTAGTAACTGATTAAACATAAGACATTACTTTGCATATAAAGCCTGTTTAATGTGTTACTTCCATAAGTAGAAAAAAAAGGTGGTGAAGCAGAATCTTCATCCTCAGAACCACCTGACTTGGTTGTACTCCTGAAATTAACACTGAGCCCAAGATTAGCAAATGGACTCCTGTGCACAAACAGATGGACAGCGGAACCCCCTTATCTGCAGGGGATTGGTTCCAAGCTCCCTCCCCCTGCACATGCTGAAAAATACGGATTACAGCAGTGGTTCTTAACCTTTGTTACTCGGATGCTTTTGAACTGCAACTCCCAGAAATCCCAGTCAGCACAGTTGGTGGTGAAGGCTTCTGGGAGTTGCAGTCCAAAACTCCTGAGTAACTCAAGGTTAAGAACCAGTGGATTACAGTACAGTACTGTATAGCAAATGCTATAAACAGCATGGTCTCTGGCTCCCTTTAGTGGCCAGTTCTGGTAATGACACCATGAAAATACATTTCTATAGCAAATGCTATATGTTGCATGGTCTCTGGCTCCCACTAGTGGTCAGTTCTGGTAACATCATCTTTAGAAATACGTACCTATTTCTAAGATTTTTCTCTTAATATTTTTAACATCTTCAGACTTTGGATAAGCGAATCAGCAGATAGTGATCCCACAGATATGGGGGTCCTACCATATGTAAGTAAGTGGAACACACACACTGATGACTGACATCTATTCTGTGCACTCCAGATATGCAGAAAACCTGTGAAAGGGGCTGCTACATTATATGGGAGACTTGAGGGAGCACTCCTTCAAAAAACATGCTAACCATGTCAACCCATTTGACCCTGAGTGCAATTAGTCCAGTGTTCTGATGCCCAAGAATAGTTTATTGTGTAATTTCCAAACAAGACCTTATGGAGTTAACCATTCTCACTGTTTCTTGACAGGACAGGACAATGACAACCTGTCTCTGAAGGAGTTCTATATGGGGCTGTCATTGCCCAAAACCATAGATAATTCTAATCTTTTCTGTGTTTGCTTTATTTATAACAAATTATTTATTGGACTAAGGATCACTACACTTTGGCAATGAGCAGGTGAGCATATCGATTGGATTTCCACTCAGGGTCCAAATCTCCTCTTAACACCTTTCTCCTTCTCCACCCATTCCCTCCTTCCAACTCACCTTCTCCATTCAGAAAACTTTCAAAGAAGTGGTTAAAGGATTTGGGCTCTCCAAAGGGAATGCACATCTTGGAGAAATGATAGTAGGACACTAGCACATCTCGGGGGTCTCGTAGTGTGTATACCACCTGTGCAGGAAAGCTCTTGTTAAACTGCTGGGAAGAATTATCAGTAGGGAGCATCATTTTTGAGAGAATGATGGTATCTCAGTGTTTCTCCCATCTTTGGGTAACCTTGGTGGTCCTGGACTTCAGTTCCCAGAAGCCTTCACCACCAGCTGTGCTGCCTGCAGTTTCTGGGAGTTACTGTCAAAGAGCACCAGGGTTACTCAAGGTTGGAATCCACTGCAGCATCTGAAAAAGCGTATTACTCACACTGATGTTTAGAATTGTTCAAGTTCCCGAACAAAATCTTTGCAATAACTATAGGCTTTGATACCCAGAGAGGTAACATTGAGAATGTACAAATAAGTACTGTATCAAGACCTAGCATACAGTTTCATATCTATCGTCATCATCACCAACTATGTAGTGCTTTTCATTCAGTAAAGAAATTAGTCCCCTCTTCCCTTTAACCCATGAAGCAGTTCAGACAGAGTGAGTCACTGAGCAAGAGTTAGTGAGTAAACTTCACGGTTCTGTAGAGATTTGAACATGGATCTCCCATGCCCCAGTCCATCACACGGTAGAGCCTTTATGCCAATAAAGGTTGCTTTGCTGCCACGGTAGAGCCCCTTCCTTTGATGCACAAGCAGCCACCATGACAGTGCCCCCATGACAATACATTCATTGTCTTCTCACCCACCTTGGCTTTGGAGCGGAAAAAGGCTTTGGGGAAGATCTGAATAGGGAGATGGCAAGTGAGCAGACGTGGAGATGGGAGATCGTGTGCAGTTTCCAGGCCTAATTGGGTGGTGAACCAGGGAGCACGGAGGGAATTTAGGACACTTTGATTTAAGACTGGGTTACCCTCATTGAGAATCAGGCTGAGAATCTCAATCATCCACACTGTCCCTGCATAGAAGGGGATAAGAAAAGAAAGCTTTATGTCATGGAGCAAAATCCTATACCTGGCTTCTCAGAATTAAATCCTGTTTAATTCTGTGCAATTAATTTCAAGATATATGGGTACAAGATTCCAGCCTAAATGATCTTTCCCATAATTCAAGACCAAGCAAAAATTTCAATGTGACTTTTAGAGTTTTGGACATTTATGACTTTCATTCTTAGAAATTCTTTTTTTTTTTAATGTTACGAAACCGAATAACTTTGGTCTCTTCGAAAAAAGTCTTTGTAACAGTAAATATCCATATGGCAAGTTCACATCTTTATCTCTTATATCACCAAAGTACCACAGTAATGACTGTTCGAGTCAAATTAAAGACACTTAAACACCACATTTTTAAAGTGGGTTAAGACAATGTAAACGTTCCTAGCAAACCTTTTTTTTTCTTTTCCACACTGAGTATGGGAAAATGGCATCTGAGCCACAAAGAATAATTTAGTGATGCACCTTTCTCCCCATAAGGGGACCCACAGCTTCATGCAGAAACACCGAATCCATGAGATCTGAATCCATGAGATCCAGGCCAATAATCTATTTCTCAGGGACCGTGTCAATCCCTACATGCATATTATAGTTATACATTACCAGATAGTGCCTCCCCCACATTTCTTTAATGTTTGGCAACAGGGATGTTGGCAAGCCTCAAGTCTAATTCCCGATTAAAAAACAAGCTCCCCCCCCAGAATAAAGGGAGGGGGTTGTTGGTTTGAGTCTTACGAGTAAAAACCAAGTCCACTTCACAGCAATTCCCATGATTGGAGTCCCATCCCTGCTTAGCAATGCCACTAGTAAAATGTCCTTTAATTTTCAATCTATCCAGTTTGGAAAATAGAAATCCAGTTTCCCCCTGCATCCTTTCTAGGGTTTCCTCTCATACCAGACTTAGGGTAAGTGACGTTGAAGATATCATCATCTCGCACTTGAAACTCATTCTCAGCTACTTGAAGGCTTTCCACTGAATTATAGCCACAGGGAAACTTTATCCTCTTATACTGGACATACTGGGCAGGCATCTCCTGTGAAGCAAAGAAAAAGCTCATCATGGGGGAAAAGGCAGCAAGAAAAGAGGAAGACCAAATATGAGATGGATCAACTACCTAAACGAAGCCACAGGCTTGAGTTTGCAGGAGCTGAGCAGCTCTTGTGTGATTCATCATGCTCAGCAACAGGGTTTGGGGGACCACCTATTTTCTGTGGCAGAGGCAGAGAACTTTGGTCCTTTAATCCAGATATTTTGTCCTTCAACTTCTAGAGGCCCCACCCAATACAGCCAAATTTGTAGTCCAAAACATCTGGTCACCCAAGGCTTTCCTATCCGCACTATATGGCTTGCATTACACAGCCATTTTCATTACAATAACAAAGCTGCTTCACATTTTTTGAAAATAAAAAGTAAACATCAAGAAAAAGACCTGAAATATCTGAGGGGGCATACATGGTCCACAGAACCTTTGCTCCTTGTTGGATTTATCATCATCATCAAACTGCAGATCTTGAAGAAACTCCATAGGTCGTTCAGTTCAGCTCCTGTCAGAGAGGCACTAAACCACTGAGCCTACCCAGCCGTTCACTTGTGGAACCTTCAAATATGACTCATTGGATAAAAAATAAATTTAGGACACAATCGCTGTGCAGGGTTGGGAAGTTGGTTTCCTTACAGAACATGCGGGATTCTAAGTAGGTCCTGCCAGCATGCCCAATGGCTAGGTCAGCTGAAAACTATGGTCAGGCAACATCTGGATGATGACAGGATCTCTACTTCTGACCAAATCACAGGTGTTTACTCATATGTCACATTTCATTTCTTTTCTGTGCTCTGCGGGGAGGGTGGATAAGAGCAGGAAAGTTCAAGCTACAGTATAAAAAGAGAAATGTGAGGGCCATATGTGAACAGCCCATGACCACCAAGAGGTTATGATTCTCTTTTGAAGTTGAATCTTAAAAAATAAATAAATGCTGGATTGCAGTCTACAAAAAGCTGACGCCTAATAAAACACCATTGTCTTTAAGGTGCCCCAGGATATTTTATTTTGCTGCTTCAGACTATCACAGCTGTCCCTCTGGGAAGTGATTCTCATGAGACAGATAAGTTTAGTGTCACATATACACACACTTGCGTACACACTTCCTCTAAAGCTACTCACTCACCGGTGGAAGAAAAAAAAAGGTACTCTTCCCAGGATGTGCCGGGAGCAGGAGAAATCACAGGGGGCGGCAGGAAAATCACGGGACTGGCTAGGAGAGTAACTTAAAAGAAGAAGGCAGAAAAGCCCACCAGTAGCCACTGGTTTCAAATTCAGGGTTGTGCTTGGCCGTCCTGGTGAATAGCAAGGCTTGTCTTCCTTTGCTAACCGCAAGCAAAATAGAGGCAAATCATTAACAGAATGGCCTGCACAGAGTCTATGTGGGGGGAGTGAACCTGGTCTGACAAAACAAAACAAAAAAGTAATATGAACCAGATGTTGTCTGTCACATTTGTGGGCAGGGCCTGTTGTGTGGGTGTTATTTTGTCTCAGCCTCTTCCAGCTCTTGGTCTTGTTATTGTTCACACTACTACTTAAGATCTCTTCCTCACACTTTCCTAATCCACCCCTTTGGATTCAAAATATGATTGTGGGCAATACTTTCCCACCTGCAATTTCACTGCACCGTTTTATAAAATAACTGCTTCCACTGGAAGCCAGCCCTGGGCACAAAAGGATGGAGCTAAAAGTTTCTGTCTGGAACTGTGTTTGGAAACTTCTACGCTGCTCAGCTTCTTTTTCAGAAAGGAATCCTCTAACATGGAGGAACATTTCTTTGCCTCAACGTACGATGTGCTCATACAATTTGTAATTAAAGCTGATTTTTCAAAAATCTCTAAGGGCTGTCCCAGTCTACATTTTTAGCACCGTTCTTGATATTTTCACTGCTAAGGGTGGCATGGAATGTGTAACAATTTGCTACACTTATGAATGTTAAAGACATTATTTATATGCTTGTCAGAAGGATATTATCCTTCCTTATCCAGGCTGAGACATTCATTTTAGCAATTAATTCCAAAACTTTTGGAATTGTATAATAATTGTATAAATTTATACAATATGCCAGCAAGTTTGGAAAACTCAACAGTGGCCAGAGGACTGGAAGAGATCAGTCTATATCCCAATCCTAAAGAAGGGCAGTGCCAAAGAATGCTCCAACTACTGTACAATTGCACTCATTTCACACACTAGCAAGGTTATGCTCCGAATCCTACAAGGTAGGCTTCAGCAGGATGTGGACCGAGAACTCCCAGCAATGCAAGCTGGATTTCAAAGGGGCAGAGGAACTAGAGACCAAATTGCAAACATGCGCTGGATTATGGAGAAAGCCAGAGAGTTCCAGAAAAACATCTACTTCGGCTTCATTGACTACGCAAAAGCCTTTGACTGTGTGGACCACAGCAAACTATGGCACGTTCTTAAAGAAATGGGAGTGCCTGACCACCTTTTCTATCTCCTGAGAAACCTATATGTGGGACAGGAAGCAACAGTTAGAACTGGATATGGAACAAGTGATTGGTTCAAAATTGGGAAAGGAGTACAACAAGGCTGTATATTGTCCCCCAGCTTATTTACCTTATATGCAGAATACCTCATGCAAAAGGCCGGACTGGAGGAATCCTAAACCAGAATTAAGATCTTCCTAAACCGGAGGGACGTGGTGGCGCTGCGGGCTAAACTGCAGAAGCCTGTGCTGCAGGGTCAGAAGATCAGTACTCGTAAGATCGAATCCATGTGACAGAGTGAGCTCCCGTCGCTTGTCCCAGCTCCCGCCAACCCAGCGGTTCGAAAGCATGCAAATGCAAGTAGATAAATAGGGACCACCTCGGTGGGAAGGTAACAGCATTCCGTGTCTAAGTCGCACTGGCCATGTGACCATGGAAGATTATCACAAAATGCTGGCTCTATGGCTTGGAAACGGGGATGAGCACCGCCCCCTAGAGTCGAACACGACTGGATAAAAATTGTCAAGGGGAACCTTTACCTTTAAGCCGGAAGAAATATCAACAGCCTCCGATATGCAGATGATACCACTCTGATGGTAGAAAGTGAGGAGGAATTAAAGAACTTCGTAATGAGGGTGAAAGAGGACAGTGCAAAAAACAGTCTGAAGCTCAACATCAAAAAAACTAAGATCATGGCCACTGGTCCCATCACCTCCTGGCAAATAGAAGGGGAAGACATGGAGGCAGTGACAGGTTTTACTTTCTTGGGCTCCATGATCACTGCAGATGGTGACAGCAGCCATGAAATTAAAAGACACTTACTTCTTGGGAGGAAAGCGATGACAAACCTCGACAGCATCTTAAAAAGGACAGACATCACCTTGCCGACAAAAGTCCACATAGTCAAAGCTATGGTTTTTCGGTAGTGATGTATGGAAGTGAGAGCTGGACCNNNTACTTTGGCCATCTCATGAGAAGAGAAGATTCCCTGGAAAAGACCCTGATGTTGGGAAAGTGTGAGGGCAAGAGGAGAAGGAGACGGCAGAGGACGAGATGGCTGGACAGTGTCATCGAAGCTACCAACATGAATTTGACCCAACCCCAGGAGGCAGTGGATCTTGTCTATGGGGTCATGAAGAGTCGGACATGATTAAACGACTAAACGACAACAAGTTTGGCAATATATTTTCCTCTGTTGTGTGTTATATGTCAAGTTACATCTGACGTACAAAGGCCCTTCTAGGTTTTCTGAGGTATGTGCCATATTTAAGGGGGTGGTTTTACCACTGCCACTCACCAAATAAGCTTCCATGCCTGGGCAGAGATTTGAACCTCTGTCTGACCACTACTCTATGCTACACTGGCAATTGTACATTTTCATTTTGGCTGTGGAACTCTTTACTTTTGGGGAATTGTTCCCATGTAGTGTACATTATAGAGACCAAATAAGAAAGAAAAAGAAAAAGAAAAGAAAGAAAGAAAGAAAGAAAGAAAGAAAGAAAGAAAGAAAGAAAGAAAGAAAGAAAGAAAGAAAGAAAGAAAGAAAGAAAGAACTGTGTGGAGACAGGGATTATTCTATGTTATAAAAAAGTTTTCCCCAAGGATGTATGTGAAGATTTTTCCAGGAAATTCTTTAACCTGTTTGATGTCTGTGTACAAAGCAGAATCTCAAAAAAAATGCCTCATGAGAATTATAATGATTTCAGCAGTATGGGTGAGAATGAGTGACAGTGTGCTTGTGTGTGTGTGTGTGTGTGTGTGTGTTTTGTGTGTGTGTGTGTGTGTGTGTGTGTGTGTGTGTGTGTGTGTGTGTGTTTGTCTAAACAACAGGCTGTGTACATTTTGTTATGAATAACCTAGTGAGGCCCATTTCATTAAATAGGCCAGTCGGAGAGCCTAGAACCAGTCAGCTGCCAAGATTTCAGTACTCCTGAGGAGCAATCCCATGTGAATGAATTCATGGGGCAAGGAGAGAAAGGCAGGTCCTTGTCCTTATCATCATCATCTTCTTCTTCTTCATTTTCAAACTGCAGATTTGGATAAGCCCTATGGATCATCAAATCCAGCCCCTCTTCTAATTAGCCATTCTGTGAGTGCTTCTTTGAGGCCTCAGCCCTCAGGAATGTAAACTGAGGAGAGGAAGCTATTAAAAATCTATTAAGTATGTTGGCTATTAAAAATCTATCAAGTACAGTTATGGGAGATTAAAAGCAGTAGGGCTCCTTTGAATGAAGTGTGGGGATCTGTGCCTCTCTGCTGTTGGACTCCAACTCCCATCAGCCCACTCCCATCATGGGCAATGGTGAGGGATGATGGGAGTTGTAGTTTAATAACATCTGGGAACACCACAGTGTCTCTCATTCTGCATGAGAGAGTGAGAAATGAGCAGAAAGAATGATAGAAGAGCGACATAACAGTGCAACCTAACTCCCCAGTTTGTGAACACCATCTCTAGACATCCTCTCAAACCCAGCGTGACAGCTACCATACTACAAATCTATGGGCAGGAAGTCCTGTTTCTTATCTTTTTGAGTAGTCCTTATCTTTTTAAGGATTTTCAGCTAAGGGATTTTCAGCAAGGGAAAAACACATAGATAGATAGATAGATAGATAGATAGATAGATAGATAGATAGATAG